GAATAGGTGGGAGAGAAGATGGACAGGTCGTGTCAAGTCAAGGAGGCAGGGATGAGAGGGAGGGTTGGTCATGGAATGAGGTCAGGAGTGGAGAGATTTTGAAACTGGTAAAATCCACATTTAGGCCATTGGGCTGTAGGCTTCTGAGGCAGAATATGAGGTGCTGCTCCTCCAGCTTGCGGGGGGTGGCATCATTGTGACACTGGAGGAGGCCCAGGATGGACATGTCACCCAGGGAATGGGAGTGGGAGTTATAATGGTTTACGACTGGAAGGTGTTGTGGTTTGTCGTGTACAGAGCGCAGGTACTCTACAAAACGGTCTCTGAGCCTCCACTTGGTCTCACCGATGTAGAAGAGGCAACATCAGGAGCAGCAGATGCAGTAGACCAAGTTGACGGATGTGCAGGTCAACCCCAGTCTAACGTGGAAGGTTTGTTTTGTGCCTTGAATGGAGGTGACGGGGGAGGTATGGGGGCAGGTTGCAAACTATTTTAACTCCCCCTCCCACTCCCTGGGTGACATGTCCGTGCAGGGGCTCCTCCAGTGTCACAATGATGCCACCCGCAAGCTGGAGGAGCAGCCTCATATTCCGCCTCAAGAGCCTACAGCCTAATGGCCTAAACATGTATTTCAACAGTTTCAAAATCTCTCCACCCCTGGCCTCATCCCATGACCAACCCTCCCTCTCATCACAGTCTGTCTACCTTCTTTCCCACCTATCTGTCTCCACACGCACCACTCCCCACCACTCCCTACCTGCACTTGCCTATCACCATCCCACCTACCATCCCCAGCCCAACCCCTCCTCTATCTATTTATTCCTACCTGGCTTATGTTTTACAATTTTATTGGAATGTTTCTTATGAATATATGAATTGTTGAAATACACTGTGGATCTGTGAGCATCTGTAAAGAGTAAAGAAAGGTTATGATGTCTTGGATTCATGTCTCTTCCATCAGGAGAGAGGGTAAAAAGAGAAATCCTATTTTTCCTTTCTATTTTAGTTGTTTAGGATTATAAGAGAACCAACTTTTTGTAACATGGTCACTAACTCATTGCAATAAAGACAGAAAATGTTGGAAATACTGAGCTGGTGGACCTATGACAAGAAAAGTTAAACTGTAAAAATGTTTCAGTTTAAAATAAACTGCATGTATCTTTTAGTCTAGCATTTACAGTAGTTAATAACTCCTAACTCTTTATTGAGTAGGCAGTAAGGTACACACCAAACCATCTGAGTTTCTTGTTGGTAGTAAGTCTTCAGTATATTTGTCTTTTGATTTTGCAGTTTTAGAAAATAGGTGGAAAGTGCAAAAGCTAAAAATAATAACAAAAATTTACTGCAGTTAGCCAGCTCTTGCTTTGCCATCTTCTTGTTTACAAGGCACAGGTTCACACTGGAATAGCTTTCTGATAAGGTACTGCTCGATCTCAGTATTTCTGTCTGCCATTACACCACAATCAAAAGATGTGAATATATTCATGAAGGGGAAAATGATTATAGGTCTACAGAGAGAGGGAAAGAGTGCAAGGTTCTTGGGAGTAATTTTATTAACTCTTTGAAAGAGATGGTTTAAGTATGATGCACCTAATGTGTCCTACAATTGAGCAAATTCTTTTCCAGTTGCTTAATTTATTTAGTTGTCCTGATCTACAGAGAGTTCAGAAATTTGACTTAGGATAAGGTATTACAAAAATCTATCTCAAAAATGTGTGTTAAGGTTTCACATACAATTAATTACTTTGAAGTTCACTGTACGTAGCTATATATACAAAAAATAAGTTAATATGATGGTTATTTGCAAGAATGGCCTTAAATGAAAGGTTTGCCAATTAAAATTGGTCTATGCCTGCAGCATGAAATGGGCATCTTGTGAATCAGCTGCTAATTTTTCACTACAGCTGATCATCTTTCGACTGAAATTCAGAGTAACAGTTCAACCTAATTTTTGAGACTTGTTTCCTAATCTCACTTTTACTTTTTATTGGGTTTGAAATGTTAAATCTTGGCAATATTTTCCAGGTCAGTGGAAAATAAAAATATACATTGTATGTATAATAGGCTGTGGATTTATTTCAAGTCTGTTTTGCATCACTGCATAAACCACTTTTGCCCTTTTTATAGTTTAAGAATAGTACGTGAAAGCTTTCTCAATAGGGTACTGAAACAAAATCTCTTCCGGACTTCAATTGTCTTATGATTGAAGCAGTGATCTCCGTCTCCTGCCACAACTTCTTCTTTCACTTGAGGGACAGATCAATAGGTAAAATCCACTCTAGGAGCACATGTAAATGAGAAAATCAGTTTGTCTAGTTTAAACATTGATTGTCTTTGAAGGTTAGAGATTCTAAATGTCCCACTTTCGAATGCAGTTGTTGGAATGAATGATTGCTCAACTGAATACTGTTGCTAGATGTTTCAGCTAATCTGTTCTCATGTGCATGGTTCAGGCACACACACTCTTCTGGCTGTCATGACTTGTTACAGAACTGTGTTGTCTCCATTATGCACATCGCTACATTGCTAGTTGCAAGAATTGCAGCATTTGGGTCAATGAAAATTGATGGAAGATTTGAGCCTGAGTGCAATACAAACAGGGAGAGACAGAGGGAGGGAGAGCCAGCAACACAAACTGGAGGAGGGAGGTGGTGGAGAAGACATGACCAAAACAAGCAGGAAATGGGAATGTTGTGTTGGCCTGTGATGTGTTTTTTATTTGCAAGTTAGACAGCTTTAGTGCTTCACCCTGAGGACTGAGCCTTATTTACTGGTAGCTAGTCTTCAATGGTGACCTTTTGGAATTTGTGAACTTAATTCAGTTTGGTTTTGGTTTTGTTTTCATTTATTGTTTTTTACACTCTTTTTCTATTGTCCAAAGACAATTTGTACAATAACTTAGTTGCATGCGTCACTACATTCTAGTTGAATCATTGATGTTGTTTTTTCTCATTGTGATTGGTACTGTTGCAGAATCACAGGTTTTATTCAATCATTTCCTGTCTTTTTTATTTACTGAGTACTTTTATTCATAAATTGCCATTCATCTCATTGCACTCCGCTGTTTTACAATGTTTTATTTGAAATTGGTGTTGTGTAGATGCTCAACTAAAGAAATGCAGCAACATTTTCTAACTGTGTGTAAGTGGTAGGTGATCAAATGATATGTGACTACATATCACCTGAGTGGTGCCACATGAACAAATAACATATGGTCAAATCTCTAGGAATCCATTAAACCAGAATGGGAAACCCTAATATGGCCCTGATGAACATGCTGTATCCCCCCAGCTTTGATTCTGGGTTTGTATGGAGTTTAGAGGTCACAGCTTGCATATAAGTTGAACCACTACAATTGGACTCAATGCCTGTGCTAAAGGAAGGGAGAAGGACTGTTAAAGCTCTTGCCTCTTGATGCACAGAGCTCAGGAGGTAAATGTTTGTCAAGATCAGCATCAAGCCAAATTTCATTACTTAATCATGTAAGTAAAGAATGAATAATTGGAAAAGATATTGGAACTTATGGTGGCTGTGGAATTGTAACCCAACAGTGGCTGAGAATTAAGAATCGACTAGACTTTACAGTCATTGAACGTTTAGCTCATTAACCCCTCCCAACCAAACCTCCTGAGAGCTGGTGGCCTATCACGTGTCTGGCACTTCTCAAATTCAACAGTGCTAGACCACAATAGGCCCCAGACCAGGAATGGAGATAGAAGCTTTATAAAATATTTATATTCCCTTGAAAACATCAAAGTTAAAAGTGGGATTGCCTGTTATGTGCTCTTGTCAGTCTCTGGGTGAAATTTTAACTCAGTTAAAACCCACCCACTTGCACACACAATAGTTAAAATTGGGCCCTTTCACTTCAAGGGGATTCTGATCTATGTATTGTCAATTCCTAACTGAAAATTATTTTATAGTGCAGCTGTCTGGTTGATCCAATCTATGATTTCAATCTGAAATGTCCCAGTCATTAGATGTTATCACTATATAATCGGCACAGCTCGTGCTGTGTCAAGGTCTTTTTAAAGACATATTAAAGTTTTCAAGGGCTAGAAAGGGAACTGACAAAATGTGTTTGACAAGATTGTTAAATACTGGTGACGTACGAACTGGAAAAAAATTACTTGGACAGAACCTTTATGCTGCAAGGACGTCAACTGAACAGTTATTTCAATACTATAATCACTTTTGTTATATAGGGAAATAAATCGACTGACCAAAAATATGTTTGAGTACTGCTGGAAAAAGACATTTGGTCGAAGCCTTTCATCTTGCACTCATCAGAAAAAGTTGCAGAAATGACTGGTGACTGTCAGTCATTATTAACTGCATTCTCCATGACAACACCTCTCCCAGTTAGAGTCCATTGCTAATCAGTGCTCTCCTGTCGTACAGTCTAAATGTTGTTTTCTCCTTTGGTATTTCTTGCTAATTGTCTTGATGAGTGCAAGTTGAAAAGTTTTGACAAAATGTCTTTTTCTTTTCCAGCAAGTTTTGTAGTACCAAGCAACTATTCGTATTTTTTGTTGTTTGATTAAAGTTAAAGGGTAACTGTTGACCAGGAGACCTCTCCACTGTTCTTTGAACTGACACAACTGGAAGACAGAGCCTGGCCTTAGTGGCTCACTGAAAGGTAACCCCCTTGCAATACAGCACCACTCTTCCCCCATCACTGCTACATCTGGAAGACTTGGAATTTGGCCATAAGTCAAACTTCTAATATAGATGTGAGAGTGCTGCTGCAGTGCTAAGCTAGCATTTTAACAAGTTAAAAGTAAGGAAAGAAGTCAGGGACAGAGGGGGAGAAAAATGTTCTCTAAGGGGAATAAAGTTGTGGATTGAATTACAGTACCAGAAAAGGAACGGAATTGGAATGAGTCCATCAGATTTTAAACAAGTTGATCACTATATTATGAGCTTCATTTTGCTGTGGATGTAGCCATTAGTGCTTTTTACAGACTTCTCTAAACTATCCATTTTCTTCCTTTTTCCAGGATTATATACTATCACTGTGCTCCCCAGAACATAGGAAGTGCGAGAACATAACATCAACATTACGGAAACAATTAATTGAGCTGAAGGATACCATTGAATATGAAAGTCAAGCTGTGCTGGAAATAAAAGAGAAGAGTGTGGAGATAACAGGAGGACAGATTAACGTAATGACTGCCTGGTCAATGTTTGAGAAGTTGAATATGGAGAACAACTCCAAAGAAGCCAAGAGTCTTCGTCTGGAGATTGGTGACTGCAGCGCCGATTCTGAGGACTGGACAAGCTCAGAAAGTGATTCAGAGCAACTCCCTACTGAGAAGAAAGGGACTCAGATTGTGAGCAAACCACACCGGCAGCTCTGCCGCTCTCCTTGCCTTGAACGGCCAGTTCTTTCGAAATGCAGTGTCCTACAGGATTTTCAGAGTGAAGACAATAAATCCAAATTTGATGATGAATACAAGGCTGCTAGTTTAGATAAAGAATACCAGGCCAAAATGGAGTTTGCCTTAAAACTAGGATATTCAGGAGAACAGATACAAACTGTGCTCAATAAACTGGGATCAGATGCTCTTATTAATGACATTTTAGCTGAGCTGGTCAGACTTGGGAACAAAAGCGAATCTGAGCCACAGCCTCCCAGTGTGGGTAATGCAGGTACCCTAGTGTCCAGGGGCCAGTGTGTGAAGGAGATCACGAGCCCAGAGCTGTCATTGGAAGATGAAGTTGTGGATGATTCTGACAATTTGAGACCTATAGTCATTGATGGAAGTAATGTGGCCATGAGGTATGTCCAAAGATTATATTTTTGTTCATAATGGTATGTTTCATCACTAACAATGCCAGCATTTATTGCCTATCCCAAATTCTTCTTGTTAAGGTGGTGGTGAGCTGCTACCTTGGACTGCTGCAACCCAGTGGTGTAGCTACACCCACAATACGAAGGGGACCACATTCCAGCAATTTGATCCAGTGAAAGTGAAGGAGAGCAGATATAGTTCCAAGTCAGGATATTGTGTGGCTTGCAGAGAAACTTGGTGGTGATGTTCTCATCGATCTGTGCCCCAAGTAGTTCCTATTGCAGATTGGGAAGTGTTGTCAAAGGACCCCTGGTGAGATGCTGTGATGCATCCCATTGTTGGTATATGTTGCTGCCACTGCGAGGTGGAGGGAAAGAATGATTAATGTGGTTAGAAAAGATGCTTGCTGGTGAAGCTTTTCATTTTGAACACATCAGGATAGATGCAAGAATACCAAATTTCTAAGGGTATATGTGTTTGGATTAACTGCTAATCAAACTCTAATTGGTCAAGGTGTTACCATGGAGATTGTATCAGAAGAGTTATCCCTCAAAGGTATGTTTAGATTCAAAATAGGCAAGTCAGATTATTATTTGAGGTGCGCACAGAGACACTTCCCGCACCTGCAACAGATAGAATGGTGTCTCTGGAAGCTAATGCTTTGCAGACTGCTGATGTATAATCATAATGAACCATCAGTTTTTATCACAATGGAAAGGTCTATTTGATAATTGATGTCCAATTGGGTGTGTGAAAATTACAGAATGGTCAGGTAACTCTACTCCAGTGTCACCAACATGCTTTAAGACAGTACAAGGTTGCTGCTTAGGGACAAAGGCTCCCCATTGCATACATGGCTAATAAATTCCACTGTTATCCCAGTTTAATTGAACAGCTAAGTTACTGCATACAGTAATGGCATTACCAGGTTCATCGTTTTGCATAATTTCAATTATTGAACTGGTACTTGGGCAGATCAGGCAGAATGCCTTACAAAATATGTTACATTGTCTGATAAGGTACCATACATAAAGCTATGTAGTAAGAGTGTTAGGGTAGTTAGTTGGCATTGATACAGGAAATGGCTAATTAGTAAAAGATAGAGTTGGGAAAAAGTGGAGCAATTTCAAGATGGCAACCTGTAACTAGTGAAGTACCACAGGGATTAGTGTTGGGACCAAAATTATTTCTAATACTTGTTAATGATTTGGATGATGAAGTGAATGTACTACAGCCAGGTTTCCAACAAATTAAAACGAGGTGTAAAGGCAAGCGATGATGATAATGCAAAGAGCCTACAGAGGAACATAGACCGATTTTTAAATGAGTGAGTGTGGTTTATAATGTGGAAAAACGCAAAGTTATACACTTTGACAGGAAGAATAGAGGAGCTGAATATTATTTAAATGGAGAAAGACTGCAGAATACTGCAACATAGAGGGATCATGGGGTTCTCATGCATGAATCACGAAAAGCTCACATCTAAATTTAGCAGGTAATTGGAAAGATAAATGTCTGTTGCCTTTATTTCAAAGGGAATGGAATATAAAATAGAGAAGTCTTGCTCAAACTTTAGAAGGCACTCATCAGACCACACACACACTATGTGAACAGTTTTGGTGCCCCTAGGTAAGAAAAGATCAACTCTTATTGGAGGCAGCCTAGGAAAAGTTCACTAGGTTGATTCCAGAAATGGAAGGATTTTCTTATGAGGAGTGGTTGAGTACGTTGGCTCTGTACTCATTGAAGTTTAGGAAACTGAGAGGGGACCTTATTGAAACATGTAAGATTCTTCTGGGGCTTGACAGGATAGATGCTGAGAGAGTCTAGTACCAGAGGGCAATAATCTCAGAGGAAGGAGATGCCCATTTAAAATAGCAATGGAGGAATTTGTTCTCTGAGGGTAGTGAATCTATAGAATTATTTGCTGTAGTGGCTGGGACATTAAATGTATTGAAGACTGAGATAGACAGGTTTTTAATGAGTGAGGGAATAAAGGGTTATAAGGGGAAAGGGCAGGAACGTAGAGGCTGCAGAATATCCGATCAGCCATGATATGATTGATTGGCCTACTTCTGCTCCTATGTCTTAATGTTTATTTTGTTTCCGGAAGCAAGTGCCCTTTTGATAAATTACCAATAGGTCTGCGCATTGCCAACTAAAAGGCATTCATACAGAACACAGTTCCAGCCTATTGCTTTACCTGGATAACAAGCCAAGTAGCTGATATTACCTAAAGAGAACAAGAGAATTTATAGTTTGAAGTATATATCTGTATGCTAGTTAACTTGACTATGAGGGCATTACATTTTATTTGAGGATTTCCTGCAGTATCAATCCAGTGTACCCAATTAATGCCATCTTTTTAATTATTCCCATTCTTAACTGTCATGGGCTATATTGTAAGAATCATTATAATCCATTCTATTAGACACGTTCCAGAGAGTATAGCTGAAATATTATTAATTATGGTTTGTGATCTGCATAAAATTAGAGATGCGTGTTTACTTCTAACTAATTGGTAAAAATAAACTTCTGCAGTAATGGTTTTGATATCAGGAAATCAGTTTCAAAAGACTTAAGAAATGAGAAATGATGATATTGCCAGCCTGGTGGTTTATAGCCCTATTCAGTGTTACGTTTAAGCCACATGTAGCAAAAAGGCTGGCTTAGGGGTGGCTGGGTTTTTTTGTCATTTCCCTTAAACATTCCTGTTTTGATATTTTCCTTATCAACCAGTTCAGAGACGGTATTAAACACCTCTGAGCCAGCAGGCCTAGGTTCAAGTCCCACTTCTCTAGAGGTAGGACTTGAACAGAGTCCTGCTGGCTTATAGGTAGGAACACTACCATTCTACCACACATTTCTACCCTTTAGCTGCACCTGGTATTCCCAGGCGGTCTCCATCCAAGTATTAACCAGGCCTGAGTTTGCTTAGTTTCGTAAGTCAGAAGAAATCACGTTTTCAGATTAGCATGGCAGTAGACTTAATATCTCATCCAGAAGAAATGAGAGAACAATAAACAAATGTAGCACTTGCTCTGTTCGCTACTGGAGTATCAGCCTAAATTTTTGTGGTACAGTCTCTTTTAATGGTGCTTAAAGTCACAACCTTGTGATTTGAGTCAATATCTTGAACCTCTTTAGGGGAAAGCAGCAGATGCTACTTCCAAATGTGAATAAGGAGGGTTTCAATCTGTTGACCTCAGGTTTATGTGGCCAGCACACTCCCGCTGCACCACTCTGCTAGCCCCTGTTCTATGATGAGATGGCTAATTTCAGCTGAACTACCAGCAAAGTGATAAAGTTAACTTCAGCACCCTGGACCAGTCCATTGAAAAGCTCAATTTACAAACCTGATTTTGTTTGGATGTGTGTGTGTGTACCCCCAGTGAGGGCAGTTAAACCTTGCTCCCTTATCAAGCTTGCATATGAATTAATTATGTTAATTAAACAAGATACTAGCAGCAAAATCATAAAACAAATACAAAATAATTAGTGCCTACTACATGTCCTTTTTAATTTTATTTATTATTCATGCACAGTCACGACATTTGGTTACTCCTCGTCCATTTTTAAAACAATTTTCTAGTTCACCACTTCACCATCTTGTACTGCAAGGTCCTTTCTGCTCCATGTCAGGATCTTTTTCCACTAGCAAAGCTTCCTGTCTGCTGCACGGTAGAAGTAAATATGACAGCTCCTCCCTGGAATATAGTAGCTCTGGCAAGGACATAAGTGAAAGTATAATTGAGTCATAGAGCTGTACAGCACGGAAACAGATCCTTTGGTCCAACTTGTCCACACCGACCAGATGTCCTATATAAATCTAATCCCATTTGCCAGGATTTGGCCCATATTCCTCTAAACCCTTCCTGTGCATGTACCCAGCCAGATGCCTTTTAAATGTTGTAATTGTACCAGGCTCCACCACTTCCTTTGGCAGCTCATTCCATACACCATTCTCTGCATGATAAAGTTACCCCTTAGGTCCTTTTTTAAATCTTTCCCCTCTTACCTTAAACCTATGCCCCCTAGTTTTGGACTCCCCCACCACAGGGAAAAGACCTTGTCTATTTTTCTTATCTATGCCCCTCATGATTTTATAAACCTCTATAACGTCACCCCTCAGCCTCAGATGCCTCAGAAAAAATAGCTCCAGTCTATTCAGCCTCTCCCTGTAGCTCAAACCCTCAAACTCTGGAAACATTGTTGTAAATCTTTTCTGAACCCTTTCAGGTTTCACAACATCCTTCCTATTGCAGGGAGACCAGAATTGCACGCAGTATAATGAAACAGAGAAGGGAAAAATCCTGTTGCAGTATAAGAATTCCTGAGAACTATGATGTGGTTTGCCCAAAATAACCAGTGCTGGTGTATTGACCTTGTAGCATGAATGCAGTTTAGAAAATGAAGGCTGTCAAATGTTATAATACCCCAGTTGGGGCTATTTTTGTAGATCCTTTCCTATTCTAGTAAGTATAATTAATTCCTCCCACAAAGGCCTACACGTGGTGATGCTTTTCATGATGTCATCAATGTCTTCCCTAAATTTCAAGATAGTTGGTAATGAGGTGGGTAACATCTGTTTCAAATCCAATTTTCTTAAGTCACTGAGGAAACGTGTTTCATTTGCCACTTTTTAAATTTAGTTTCACAATCACAGGTGACCCCAAATGCTTGCCAAGAACTTTACTTTGTGTAAAGTAAAATATGGAGCCTTTTGTCCATGATATGCAATTACTTTGTGCATCTAATTTGCATTCCCATTGAGGCATACTTAGCATGCATTGAAAAACTGTTTAATTTCCTTACTTCACAAATGCAATCATTTGCCTTGATTGTGCAATAAATGTTTAATAATTATAACGAATTGCTGAACCCATACTGTCGCATTTGTGCGATTTAACAATTACATCGAGCACAATGTCAGCCAAGGTCAAACTTCAAAGACTGAAATTGATCCAATTTCCTTTCGTAGTCATGGAAACAAGGAAGTGTTCTCTTGTCGTGGGATTCAGTTAGCTGCGGAATATTTCCTGGAAAAAGGACACAAAGACATCACAGTATTTGTTCCTGCATGGAGGAAAGAACAGTCCAGGCCAGATGCGCCCATTAAAGGTACGTAAACCTGTCACAATATAATTAATGATCTGCTCATATAGAAATAGATTACTTCTCTTTTAAAATGTGAATGCTGGAATATTTGATAAAATTAGCAAATGATGGAAATACATATCAATTCCATCAATATTTGAACAGGGATTGTAGGAGTGGTGTGCTGGGAAAGATAAACTTTTGATTTTGAGACCACACACTCTCAGGAAGCCTATTAAAGGTTGGGTAGCAGTGGGAATTGATGTCAGTTGCTGGGTTTTCTACTGCAAGTGAAAATAATGATGAATGTATTCATTAGGTTAGAGAGCCATTGCCTTTCTTCGCATCCAGCATTACTAAATGGAATGGAGGCAAGGAATTCACAAATAAAAGGGTTAACTTGTTTAATATGTATCTTTTTTTAAATGGTATAGCTGGTCTTGCAGTTTCGCAATAAGAACGGAATTCCCTCCTACATGAGTTGGCTGAGCTGGCAGCCACAGAAATACCAGCAGAAAATGAGGATTCAGGTTTAAATTAACCTGACTGCCTTGACCTAGCACGCTCAGCAGGGCCACACAAGTTGGCATCTAAGTAGGCCTGCATGATAGAAACCTGCATCCAAGCCAAATCTAGTAATATTCTCATGTGGATATCTTCAATGTTATACATTTTAGCAGGAGTTGCTGAATGGTGATCAGGAGTGATAACAGTACTAGAACAATTTCCATCAGTCTCTATCTCGGGGCAGTCCAGTCATGAACTGAGCTAAATTTAACCAAGAAATCATTGGTTCTTGAAATCAAGGAAACCTACTGAAATATATTTTGTTTATGATTGAGCAAATGAGATTTTTTTAAAATCCCTAACCAATCCTTCGTTCTGCTATGTCTGTTTTACACTTCACTTCACATTCCGGATTATATAGTACTATTGCACACTGGCCTTTCTAGTTTAGATTCTCAGTGCTGCTCAGTGGGATTGATTAAGAAACTTTTAAAGTACTTTTTTAAAAAACAGTCAAAAAAGCTCCATCTGCAATACATTCGTCTGATCAAAACTTTAATATTGAAGTAATTACTCAATTCTGCAGATCAAGAACTATTACGAAAACTTGAGAAAGAGAAAATTCTGGTTTTCACACCATCCCGACGAGTGCAGGGGAGAAGAGTGGTGTGCTATGATGATCGATTCATAGTGAAGTTGGCCTTTGACTCGGATGGAATTATTGTGTCAAATGACAACTATAGGGATCTACAGAACGAGAAACCAGAGTGGAAGAAATTTATAGAAGAACGTCTTCTAATGTATTCCTTTGTGAATGACAAGTAAGTGTTATAAGCACAGAGGATGTAATTTTCCCTTCCCTGGAGGTGGCGAGAAGAGGGAATAATTAGATGAGTTCACGCTGACATGCATGCCATCGAACGAAGTGCTGGGCCAGAAGGTGTATTGGGAGTTGTATGATTTGCCAGCAATTAAGGCATTTAAGTGATCAGTTAGTGGCCACTTAAAAGCCTCAGCCATCACCTTTCTGATTGCCTGCTTTGTCTGAAGCTGAGAGAAGTGGTTCCCCAACTGGGAAACAGCCTAAGTGACCACCTTGCAGAGTTGGGAGGAGCAATCGGAGGCACGGATGGATGGCCATGGCTGTAGCCTGTGAAAACCTGTCCCTGCCCTTGCCTTCGCCACTCCCTGCCCCTCCCACCCAACCACCCTTTCCTCGTAGCCCCCATCCCACAAGAAGCAAATGGAAAAGACCTACCTTTTTGCCATTTAACTCTCCAAAGTGTAGGCTTTGACCGAAGGTCCTTAGTACTCCTATGCCATTAGCCTCTGGCAGACAGCTTTTGGCAAGCTAGGGCACCTATGGAATATTCATAGAATCGTACAGTAAAGGGACCCTTCAGACCATTAAGTCTGTACCACCAAAAATATCCAGTCAAGGTGTGTTATTCGCCAAGGAACTCACAATCAGCTCTTAACAAGCTAATGAGTGTTGGATTTGTGAGCTTTCGCAGGTGGGGCCAGTAAGTTGACACCGAACATGCCTGCCCCCACACTTTGACTGCAATTTTCCTTCATACAAAGTCTTTGCATTCATTTTTTTTGCTTAAATTGTGTATGTCAAAATGAGATCCGTTAGTATCAGGAATGGGAAACATTTCAATCCGGGCATTCAGTATGATTATCAAGCCTTCCCAGGTGAGGTTTTGAAGTGGATTAGATTCAAAATAAACTTCAGTCCACTGTGTCCAATAAACACACTCGCCTCCATTTTAGAAGTGATTTTTCTTTTACTGGTATGGAGTTGTTGGGCTCAATGGTGTATGTGGTAAATATTAAGTAATGTATTGTTTCACTGGCCAGCCATACTGTAGCCTCTGCATGAAATGGGCACTTTATTTTCCATTGAAACTAGTTTTGTGCTGAACTCTGAGGGTGCTAAAATCTTTTTAATGTAAGGTACCTCCAGCCAGCAGGCGATGAAGGCTTTCATTAATTTAGTCTGTGCCACATTTGAACCTGCTTTCAACGTTGAATATCTAATCAATAACTCATTGCAACAGTATATAAAATATGGACAAGTTACACATAAACAATCAGTGGTTTATTTCACTGTTTCAAGGTTCATGCCACCTGACGATCCTTTAGGACGTCATGGTCCCAGCCTGGATAACTTCCTGCGAAAGCGTCCCGTTATTCCAGAGCACAAGAAACAGCCTTGCCCTTATGGTAAGTATTCATAACTATCTGTTAATTAGAACTGTGAATCTAGTTGGTTTCTAAATGTTTTGACCATTTTTGTTTTGGTTCAAAAAAACTATGTAAACACACCTTAGTATTTTGCCATTTTTCCCTCATCTCTTGATATACTAACTCTTGCTGTTGCTATGGCTCATGCTAATTACATAAACATTGGCAGCCCAGTTGTCACATCCAGATACTGATTCTTCATGAGAGTCGAGACCATTAGGAGTGGACCGGCTGTTTGACAGTTGAGGGCTTCTCAAGTACTCATACAAAGTCTCAGCCAATTTCTGCACAAGCGCAGTGAACAGAAGGGATCACTAGAAATGATCATGGGCAGAACCTGAGATTAGATCACTACCTCACTGGTCTGAATGATGAAAACTGGGGCCTTCTCTATTTAGTACTGATGTCATTACTTCCTAGCAAACAGAGTGCAGAAACCATTCCTAGCAAGCTATTTTGGAACAATGTAAAATATTTTAAAGATTACTTTAAAGCATTATTTTGTAGGTTTGCAATGATAAATAATTCTGTTGAAGACAAGTTTATTTATCACACTCGATCTTACTTGGTTTCTGGTTATGATTTGACAGGGAAAAAGTGCACTTATGGACACAAGTGTAAATACTATCATCCAGAACGTGTTAACCAGCCACAGAGATCAGTTGCTGATGAGCTTCGTGCCAGTGCTAAGTTGTCTGCTGTGAAAACGATGAGTGAAGGAGCCTTGGCAAAATGTGGCATTGCCATATCGGGTGTGAAAGGGGAGACAAATTCTGAGATTAAGCGTGTCGCTCCAAAGCGCCAGTCTGACCCCAGCATCCGATCTGTAGTTTGTGAGCCAGAGGAGCGATTGACACCAGCTCGCAGACTAGAGACTAACTCTGTGCCTTCTTTGGTCACTGCATCGAGTGTACCTACATTTCAACCCAATAAAAACAATGCAGCCAGTGCCATGAGTACCCGATCTGCAAGCAGTCCAGTGCCATGTTCCAAACAGTTCACTCACCAGAAATCCTCACAAGAACACTTATCCACTTTAAATTATCCACCTATTCTTGTAACCAACAGCCATGGAAACTCTGTGAGTTATACAGAACAATATCCAAAATATGATTCAACTTTAGACACTGGCTACTACTCCATGATAAATGACTTCTCAAATTTGAGTATCAGCAGTATGCGGAACCATGACAGCTATTATGGATTGGAATCGGATCATGGTTTGTATCCAAGAAACACTAGTCCTCACACAGAAACCTGCATTACAAGTAATGATTCCTATTCTTCATACAGTGACCTGGCATACCTTGGCACTGTAGAACCAGGTCCAGAAGATAATGTGAAAACCCATCAGCCACAATCACAGAATAGGCTGCAACCTTTCATTCATGGCTACCATGAACCTATAACAAGAGTGCAGAGCTATGGACCAGAGGAGCCAAAACAGCCCCAGCGTAAACAGTCTATCTCCCATTTAGCTCCTCATATACAGCATTCTGCTGTTGGAGCACGTTCCAGTTGTCCTGGGGACTATCCTGTTCCTCAAAACATTCATCCATCTGCTAATAACCAACCAGGACGGGCTCTGGTAATGACTAGGCTGGACAGCATTTCTGATTCACGACTGTATGAAAGTAATCCAACGAGACAACGAAGACCTCCACTCTGCAGAGAGCAGCATACAAGCTGGGATCACCTACCATGTGTCACAGATTCCTATAGATACCCTTCATACCCTTTGACTAATAATCTCATGCAACCCAATTATGAACCTGGTATGTTTAGAAGTATGCCAGAGAAGATAGAGCAGATCTGGAGGTCCCCCTGGCAGGGAATGCCCAATGAGCAACAGGACCATCTGGCAATCCGGGAACATCAGTACCAAACGTATCGAAACCTCTGTAACATCTTCCCAGCAGACATAGTTCATGCAGTAATGGAAAAGAATCCCCATGTAACTGACCCCCAACATCTTGCTGCAGAGATTGTTGCCAAACAACTACGTTCTGGGCGGTAAAACACAAATGAAGGATTGATGACCAATTGTGTATTGTTAGGACAAACAAGAGAAAGTCTGTTTAGTGCACAACATTTGTGAAATTCAGGTTGTCTAACACAATAGATCTAAGAATGCTATAAGTATTTTAAAAGCATTTGATTATCTGAAGAGGTTTAGGCAACTTTGAAGAGGAAATGAATACCTTACTTTGTTAAAATCGCAAACCTTCTACTTTTGACTTCCAGGATTTTCCAAGTTACAAAGTATATTTGAATTGTACTTTTAAGAAGAGTTATCTTTTCAACATAAATTTCCATACGCCTGACTTATGGATTGTAGGATTTGGAATCTTAATAAAAGTCCAAGAGGAAATAAGTGTAATTGTAACTTTAAAAAGACTGTGTTTGCAAATAATGCAAACAAGAATAAAATCATGTTAAAGATTACATACAACAAATTAAATTGATAATTTAAATATTTCAAATGGCATCCACAGATTCAAATGATAAAATCTCATGTAAGGTATCTATTTCCTGTTTCAGATTCTCAACCAAAAGTATAGCACTTCAGACCATTTCCTTTGAGTCGTATTTTAAGGGTGGAAAATTTGCAGCCAAAAACAAACCTTTTGGAAGCATTATTGTATGTTATCTTCAGACTGCACTGATGTGCCACTATATTTAAAAGCAATGTATATTATTGCTAACATTTGACAAGCTTGATGTTTCAAGCTAGGTCTTGTTGATTTAAAAAAAAATGTTTTTCATGAAAGTTGAGAAGGCCTTTAGGGGGTCTTTGTTTCTTCATGAGAAGGTCTGACACTGCCTAAATGTTTCTTACTGTGAAACACATGGAATGTGAGGCTGCAGTCAGGGTTGTTTCTGTCATTTTGCTAATGGCTTGCAAATGCTGTGTAGTTGTTTTCTATTTCCTACAAAAGCAGCATCATCACTTTAGTTTAAAACTGCCAGTTTGTTATACGATTTCACTTCATAGTTCTGTTGGTGCACATTTTTAATGTTTCTAAAATGTAAACATTTTAAAATTAACGTGTACACACTAATACGTAGGGTATGCTAACTTCCTTGTACCTATACTATCCCTTAAAAGAAGGGCCTGTCTGTTGCTAATTAGTAGACTGGAATAATCAGTAAACGAGTAGATTCATCTAGTTAGTAACTGAATTCTATAGCCCATAGTTCCCTGGTTCAGTCTCTCTGTGTGTTGGCTGATTTCACCCAGGCTGGTAGTAGGCACACTACAGTCAGTCTTGGAGGTAGGGTGGCAAAAATCAGATAGGATCCCTTGTCCTGACTGTTGACTAGCCACACCAACCTTCTCACTCACCCGTTTTATGGAAAGTGCATTCGTGTTGTGCACGGGCACTGTTGGTTAGGTGGCTAGAATATGAAGTAGTATACTGTCAACAGTCAAGGTTCAATCCCCATATGAGCTGTGGGAGTTCATGGTTGCCTGCCTCCTTACTTTACCTCACATTTGATGCTGTGTGGTGCCCCTCAAGACTATATAACTAATTGTTACTCTCTCTTGGAGAAAGATGCCTGTGGTCTATTATGGACTGTAGCTAGTTACAGACTTTATCTATCTGGATGAGGACAAGATTTGTCTCAAGAATTGAGTGCTGCTACTGTTGCAGAGTTTCCCAACTTTCATCGCCACTCCAGTGATGTTACACACAGCTGCTGCTGCTGCCAGGGAACCATATCCTAGCAAGACAGTTGATTAAAACAAAACCACATCATTTTGTTGTATCTGAAACTATTTTTGTAGCTGACATTTAAATACAGCAAAAAGCAATGCCTGGAATGATCAGAAATGACATTTGTTTGTTGATACAAATTGTATCTCTTTTCTTGATTGTAGAAAATTATTTATTAAATGTACAGTTATCATCGGTAGAATAGCTTTATCAAATCTTGCCACAACGTTTGTGACACTGTGTGTCACTGGGAGTAGCCCATGGGTATGTATGAATTTTTACTGGGCACAGTAGTTTGTAGACCTGAATTTTTAAATTCATGTTCTTCAGATGTGCACACATATTGTGTACAGTACCAGTGTCATTATTCATAACATTTATTAGGATTAAAAAGTATTGTTTCCAAAAGCTGAACAGTAACTGATTTTTACATCCACATTATCTGGTATTTGTTTATAACCATCTTTTCCCCTTTTCTGCCTCCTTTTCTAGACTGAAAGCCCAAAAGACCTTCCACTCTCCAGTCAGGACTATCACTGATTTTCTCCTTTTATGAAAGTCAGTAGCGCTCTGTCCCCCAGTATAAGAGAATCAAAATGAGCAGAGCAAATAATTCCATGCAATTCCTTGGGTACAAGTGTACTATTTGAAAAAAAAATTGCTTTTATTGGTTTGATTTGTGTGAAATTTATCACCTCAGTTCACTTCTGCATACCTTTTTATAGGTCTGTAACTATTAGCTCTTCAGTGTAGCTCAAATTATCTTAATACATGCTTCTCTTGGAAGTGCAGAATTGAAACCAGTACCTCAAGCTGTTTTCAGTGAATATACAGCACTGAAATTTTATACGATTATATTCAAGTAGTCAGCTTTTCTACACCCTAAGACGGAATATTGTGATCCATCTGGAATCTCAAATGCGAAATTCCAAAATTGAAATCAATATTGAACAAGCTGCCGCCTGTATAGAACTTGGCCTCTCATGACCTCACTGGGAGCCAAGTATTTATCCTCTTTGAGAACATGAGTTGTGTTACTCAAGAATTTTACTTACAAAAATACTTTGTAATGTTTAGGAAAATATAGAATCTTTGACTGATTCTTGCGTGCATTATATTAGTTTTCTGTTGTCAGCCCAGTTTTCTGTATGGTACAATTCTGCACAGCAGAACTGTCACTCCACGTGCTTTGTAGTAGAAATAAATGTCAATTAAACCCCAGTCTTACTTTTAATGGAAGCAATATTTTTTAACCTTATTGCCCGCCTGACCTTGGCTCTTATCATGTAGAGCCATTCGCTAAAGAAATCTTTGAATTGTGGTTCTTTAAAAGAAATATGGCAAAGTTTAAGCTACACCTTCCCATTTTGGTTGGTCAGACAACAGACCTATACGTTGCATCTTTAAATAAGTCTTAGTCTGACCCTTTCAGATTCAATTTTTACAAATTAATTTTGAAAGAATTAATCTAGGCTCTCATTGAGCACAAGAGCCTTATGTTTTTTCAAGTCTTTAGATTCCATAGGAAGTACTGTAAAGGTCTGAAATGTCTGTTGAAGGTTAACAAATGGGATGCTGTAGCTTTAAGCAACATGGTTAATATTCAGGAGTTTTAGATTTACATGGAGCATTTTGCATCCTCACCTGCCTGCCTGTTCTTTGCAATGGTTCAGAAACCCAGCATAAGGACGATACATTTAGATTTTTCTGTACAATTTGAGAATGGTTATCTTTTGCATATGGAATGTAGGGTCTCTTCAACCAGTTGCAAGAATGACAGTAATCTGTGCAATGAGCTAGAACAAAATCTGCATTATTTAAGAAACACCAATAAAATGTTTAATGTTCAGTGAGACCCTCCTTTCGTTACTGCTTTTGTTGGTTGCACGTATAATCTCATCTATTAATGGGAGAATAAATTCGATGACTTCTATGTTTCTCAGCCCTGTTTAAAAAAAGTCTTGTAAAAATAATTTGCCTTGATTAACTGCTTTCTTTTTGCTACATCGAGTTTATTCTCAGCCCCAGATAGGATCAAAGTGTACTATATTTAGTGAAACTTGTTTGAAGAGATCATACAGTTTGTGTAGATTTACTGTAATTTAGATAGCTTGTGTACAGATAGCTTAATGTGTGAAAATATAAATAGAATATATATTTTATTAGATTAGTGCATTTGTTTTATGATCTGATTTTTGTTCTGTTCCTTATAATGAAAATGTTGGCTTTTATCTGTAGTAAAACAAAAAAACTCTTTGGGTTTGTAGTCCCAAACAAAATGTAAGTCTTAATGACAAAATGTGTCTCTGTCACTTTGAGAATTTAAAAAAACAAGCAAATGTGTTTTTAAGCACGCTATGCGATCAGTACCTTTTAATGTGTATGGATAATGTGATAAATTGTGCCAAGTGTTGGATGGTATAATTGCTTTTAATTTTGAGCACAGCTAACTCTAGCTGATATTAATTGTATTAGTAAATGTGACAAGGCTGCTATGACTTTAAATCACTTTTTCATTGTTTAAATGTTATGCGCTTTGGCTTTAGTTCATGTCCAAGCAGCTTTTGTACAATGTAAATTGATTAAAGTGGGTGCATTCATAAAAGATCACTACAGTTGCTTACGTACACAAATACTACATGGAAGCAACTGTTCTTTCAATCTGCAATAAGGGGCTAGTTCTAAATAAAACCACACTGCCAATAGGTTATTAACACATTTAATACCATTCTGCTATAGCTAAAGTTGTTCTTAATCCACTATGCTGTAATACTGTACAATCTTCCTGTGCATCTCAATCTGTAGAGCTTAAAATACCATCTAAAGACAAAACCCCTATTTTAAAAGGACAAGCTCCAATAGTACTGTATATTTTCCACAACTGTACATAAAGCAAACATTTTCACAGCCACCACTACAATTTACAGAAGTCCTTGAGAAAACACTGCAAAATTGGCTATCTTTTCAATATTAACATTTGTGAGATATATACATGGCATTGTAAATATCATCTTGACATTAAAGTGGCCTTGAAAACCTACTTTTCATAAACTAATTTTGCAGTGTTACCTTTGCATCTGTACAATAGAAGTAAATAGAGGGATTTTACTTTGACAATGGTATGAACATGAAGTGCATATTCAGGTAATTTATTCAGTTTTGATGATTGCACTCTAGGAGTAGCAGGGTAATGAAATTGATTTCTGTGCCTTTTTAAAACATTATGGACACAACTTCAAATGGGTTGTATTTTTGTGCTTTCGAATGTGTTCCATACAAGGTGTGCAATTTAAGAATGTACTTTAGTGTTTATTTGCATGAAGTAAAAGTTATAACTACCAAAAGAAAAACTGCCCTAAACAAACATTCATGTTTATTAGTGCCAAATGTAACTAATTTGTAGTAAAGGATTTAAAAATTACTACACAATTTGTGTTACATATAGTCAATAAAAGTTACTTTCTAGAAGATCAATGTTGATTTCTTGTAATGTCATTTTATGGGAAAGGTTCACTTCGCACCTGTAATAAAGTAAACAGAAGCTTCATTACAACTTCTAAAGAGTTTAGTGCATGTAAATTATTTGCAGTAAATTTGCTTAGCATTAAATAAAATGGATTCTCATCTATGTGTGCAAAAATAAGTACAATGGAAAAACCTATTCAGCCCATCTAAGTTTTCAATCATGCTAGGCTGTTACATGTTGTGATGAACATGTTTACTTCTACCACTTTGGTTGCAAACAGTAACTCCAGAATCTGCCTGCTGTCTGCGGTACCTGATTGTTCTGTAGGATTGTTCCCCACCCCGCAACATGTTATTGTTTTATTCAGCCTCTGTTTCATGAAATTTTCATGAGCAGAGCTATGCACTCTTACTCTCATTGCAGTTCTGTACTTAGTCTGGTTCACAATTCTAAATTAGCAGTTGAAATCAATGCATTGTGGACCAATATTCTGGTTGTATTTCTTTCACACATATTAGACTTCTAATTTTAAGGGAAATAAGACCAGGATGAATCCATAACCAGTACAAGGAAAAAAGAAGAAAAATATTTCTTTCAATTTGAGAAAGAGCAACTAATTTTCTCAAACCTAAGGTGAGAAATGAGGATGAAGAACAATGAAAGATGAGCAATAACCCAAAACAAACAGGAACAAGGTGGTTGTTGTTTATTTTGCAACATAAACAAAAAAGTAGTCATTTACTAGTTTACACATACAACATTATACAATTTTGACAAACACAAATGACTGAATTAATGATAGAAACTTCAATACTAGTTTAAAAGAAACTAGCTCTAGGGCAGGCCGTGAGTGGTAAAGTATCATTTCATTGTACCCTTAGACCTGCAAAGCTGACAGCTAAATGAATTAACTTTAAAAGAAATGGTAAATATTGGAAAAATACAGCCAGCCATTCTAGCAGCATCAGAAAAAAAAAGACAAATTCATGCTTCAGAAATCAGTCTTTGATACATAAGTGTACCCATAAATATGCACACGCTTTTTTAGAGGAAGGGGAGTAGAGGTCTTCAAAAGGCAAAATAATGGAACATCAGAAGTTTTTTCCCCCCACTAGAACAATTTCAATCCAGCTTTCAGTCTATGCAGGTCACTCTGAGTCCACCATAAACCTTCTGAGTCTGCGCAAGGTAATCCTGTGGCACTGCAAGAGAAAACTATTTTTAATCAACAGGTAAATTAGAGGCAAAAAGTCTCAAAACAGAAGTACAGATTAAAGGAGGACATGCATACAGGCCATAAGATCACAGCTAAATACTCCCAGGCTGAGTGGAATTAGCTGAGTAACACCCTTGGGTGAAGAAGGTTAAAAAAAGTTTTAAAAACTACTTTAAGAAGTGTCACTTTCCTACAGATTGCCACTTCCACTTTTTTTTTTAAAAAAAAGACAGAAAAGATTCCAATCAGGGTTCCTTCAGAAATGTACAGCCATACTTCCATTCTGACAATTCTTTCATGATGCTGCATTGTTGAGAGAAGACAAACCATACCCCTTCTCCCAGCAGTCAGCTGCTGTATTGTGACATTTACAGGCCCAGACAGCTGCTGCTGAATGACAAGTCTGGCTGCAATACTGACGGTGAGGTGACCGAAGAAGAGGGAGATATATTAAGTGGAAAGGGAATCGAGCAGGAGACAGTGGCGTAAGGAAGGAATGTGTCCTGTGGAAGAGGTTCAGGTGTTGGGGGATGAGGGGGCTGAACGGGATCAGATACCAGGGTGGGAGGAAAGGAGATCGAGATGGGTCAGAGAGTGATGGGGTGTGGCGGGGGAAGAGAGAAAGAGGAGGAAAAGTGAGACACAGTGATTCAGCTGTTTTTCCTGAGTAACTATTTGCTTAATTTCATCTAAACCCATTGAATTGTCTGAATGAAAATGAGAGATTTGAGGATTTCAGATGTAGAGAAATTGCCCAGTGGAATCTTCAATTTGTTGGGCAATTCAAATCTTTGGAGTCTGAGAAGATGGGTTTCTGGAGGATTCCCACATGCAGCTCCCATCTACGGTAGAATAACAACTGAGAGTCCATCAGAAAATCCAAGCCAGGGTTTTCACTTATTGTCTAATGAGTTCTCCTGTAAAGTGCATCTGTGTACAATTCAGGCAAGGACAGGAAGGGATACAACGGATTCCCCAAATGGTCATATAGCATATCCATGCTTGCTGTTTAGGTTCTTATTCAGACCAGTGTCTACACCTATGGCATGGTAGCAAGACAAAAATTGGTGCTTTCATAAGAGAACAGGTACAACACTGAACTAATAATTCATTAGCAGAAGAGGAAAATAACTATTGGTGACCTGGACTTGGGTATAAGCCACAATTGGAGTCAGATGAAACTGAAATGTTAAATACAATAAAGCTGATAGTAACAAACATCAGCAGGTTGGCAGATGACAGGTGAAATTTAAATCGGAGAAGTCTGAAGTGATTCATTTTGGTAAAAATGAGAGGCATATAAACAAAATAGTACTTTTTCATAAGAATGCAGAGACAGAGAAGAGTATATGTATACAAGAAGGAGGCAGATTAATTTAGAAGGCAGTTTTAAAACATGGATCCTTGGCTTTATTAAGGAAAGAACTGAATGAAAGAGCAAGAAAGATAATCAAAAGTTTACAAAGCACTAGTCTAGTCTTAACTGAAATATTAAATATTTTCAGAAAGATGTCAGTCTTAAGATAGGGTGCAGAAGGGATTTGCTAGAATGGTACCATGACCAAGAGATTTCATTATGTGGGGAGAACAGGAGTTGTTCTTAGAGAAGGTTAACAGATTTGATAGAAGCAATCTACATTATGAATGGTTTTAATACAATTAAAAAGGAGAAATTGTTTCTAGTTTAAATACAGGGCAAGGAATACTGAAGAATGTTAGTAAACAAACCAGAAGTGACTTTTTTTTGAACAGATACAGGATATAAATATTTGGATTGCTCAGTGAGCACAGACTTGGACATTTCCAACTAAGGTGGTCATTGGACCCACTGTATCAATACTGAGCAACAGATCTGACAACACTAATCCAATTTTCCAAAAAAGTATTTAAACACAGCATGACAGTTTCTGACTCAACCATACTTCCAAGCATGAACTACTAGACACCCACCACCTTGTGGGTGAAGTAATTTCTCCATAATTTCAGTCTTCGCCTTCTATTTATTTTCTTTTACTCAACCTGTTCAGAGATATTATTACAAACTCCTGGAACTGGTGGGAGTTGCACCCAGGGCCTCCTGGCCCAGAGATAGGGACACTACTATTACACCACAAGGGCCTCTTCTCTTAGCCTTCTATCTCTTACCTCAAATCAATGCCAGCTGGTTACTGGCACCTCTCCTTTCCTATCCACCTTGTCTGAAAGGGTAATGGGAGTAGATTCAAAAGTCATTTCCAAAAGGTGGTTATATCATTGAAGGAAAATAATTACAGGGCTATAGGAAAAAGAGGTGATGTGGGATTAATGGGATAGCTCAGTTGACCCAATAGATGGATTTAAAAGGAGACTTTGATCATAGGTACATCTGTTCAAAGTATTAAAAGTGGTAACATAATAGCTGGGTAGAATTCATCCTTAACTTTCACACTTTATTATTGGTGATTGTTACCACCAAAATGCAAAAAAGAGTGCTGAGTGGAAGACTGGAATTACTTTTATCTATTTCAGGCTAAAATACAGAAATGGCAATCTACACCAATATAAATGCATCTTTCAAGCTCTCAGAAAAAGGTCCAACTTCAGCTTCTGTTTTTGGTACCATTATTGACTGACAAACAGCATGCAAACCTGTAACTGCACTGTATTTTCCCCAGGGCCAAATCAGCTTCAACTCAAGCAAACTGCTGCACCCTTCCAGAGAGTTTGCCAGAAGTGATGTCAAGGCATAAGAAGGGCATTATTGAAATGAAAGATTTCCCAAGGTGGCCTCATGTTCAGCAACTTAGTTGCAAGCTCCAAATATGTAAAAAGATATCCTCAATTGAAATCAAGATCCTACAGCTTTAAATCTTGTACTTTGTACTGCAAGAACAACTCAAGCTAAAAGACGCATCTTCTGATTTATCATAGTAAAAACAGAATTAAGCCATTGAGGCTGCTCCACCATTCAATCACGGAATTTGATACATTTCTCAATCCTATTCTTCTGCCTTCTCCTGTAATCCTTGATCCTCTTATTAATCAAGAACCCATCTATCTCTATCTTAAAGACACTCTGACTTGGCCTCCTCCATAGCCTTCAGCTGCAGTGCGTTCCACAAATTCACCACTCTCTGGCTAAAGAAATTCCTGCTCATTTGAGTTCTAAAGGGTCATCCCTTCATTCTGAGGCTGTGCCCTCGGTCCTAGTCTCTCCTGCTAGTGGAAAATCTTTTCCACATGCACTCTATCAAGGCCTCTCAGAATTCTGTAAGTTTCAACCAGATTGCCCCTCATCCTTCTAAATTCCATCGAGTACAGACCCAGAGTCCTCAACCATTCCTCATATGACAAACCCTTCATCCCCAGAATCATTCTTATCTGGACCCTCACTAACAGCAACACATTCTTCCTTAGATATGGGGCCCAAAACTGCTCTCAATATTTCAAACACAACCTCAGCACTACACACTTCTGCTCTTGTAGTCTAGCCCGCTTGAAATGAATGCTAGCATTACATTTGCCTTTCTAACTGCCAACTGAACCCATGTGCTAACTTTAAAAGAATCCTGAACTAGGATTCCCAAGTCCCTTAACAAAAAAAAATCCAAAGAACTGGATGCTGGAAATCAGAGACAAAAACAAAAATTACTGAAGAAAACTCAGCAGGTCTGGCAGCATCTGTGGGGGAGAAAGCAGAATTAATGCTTCGGGTCCAGTGACCCTTCAGAATCTGGACCTTAAACGTTAACTCTCCTTTTTCTCCACAGATGTTGCCAGACCTGCTGAGTTTTTGGACTTCTTTCTGTTTTTGCTCCTAAGTCCCTTTGTGCTTCAGATTTCAAAGCCTTTCCCCATTTAGAAAATAGGCTATGCCTTTATTCTTCCTACCAAAAAGTGTACAACCTCACATTTTCCCACATTGTACTCCACCTGCCACTTCTTTGCCCACTCTCTTCGCCTGCCAAGTCCTTCTACAGCCTCTCCATCTTCTCAACATTACCTGCCCCTCCACCTATCTTTTAGTCACCTGCAAACTGAGCAATGTCCTCAGTTCCTTCATCCAGACAGTTTATGCACAACGTGAATAGTTGTTGTCCCAATATCGAACTTTGCGGAACTCTATTAGTCACTGGCTGCTATCCTGAAAGACTCCTTCTATTCCCACTCTGCCTTCTGCCAGTCAGCCAATCCTCTATCCACACCAGTATCGTGCCCCTAACACCATGGGCTGTTATTCTATTTACAAGCTTCCCAGGTGGCACCTTCTCCAAGACTGTCTGAAAATCCAAACAGATCATGTCCACTAGCTCTTCTTTATCTAACTTGCTCATTACCTCCTCAAAGAATTCTAACAGATTTGTCAGGCATGACCTCCCCTTGACAAAGCCGTGCTGACACTGCCAATTTTACAATGCACTTAAGTACTCCGCAATCCCATTTTTAATAATGGACTCTAAAATCTCACCAATGATCAAGGTCAGGCTAACCAGCCTATAATTTCCTGCTTTCTGCTTCCCTTCCTTCTTAAACAGAGGTATTACATTAGACATTTTCCAGTTCCCTGGGACTGTCCCTGACTACAGTGATTCCTGAAAGATCACTGCCAGTGCCTCCACAATCTCCTCAGGTATCTCCTTCAGAACTCTGGGGTGTAGTCCATTTGGTTCAGGTGATTTATCCAACTTCCCCAGCGTCTTCTCCTTAATGCTGGCTATCACATTCACCTCTATCCCCTGACTCTCCAAGTTCTGGTTTGCTGCTGGTGTCTTCTACCATGATGCCCTGGAACATGGTCATTCCCCCACACACTGTGGGAAAAGTTTCTGCTTCTTTGCAATATCACACTTCACATTGTCAAATAAAGAAAGCCTGCATAAGTCCCATGAGCGCATATTGGACAATGTACTTCTAATAAAACAATTGAAGTGTACATCCTTAGCTTCAACGCCTAACCTGAGGGTTTTTTTAGTTCAAAACTCTTTGTATTTGTGGGAAAAAAAGACT